TGCACGTGGTGCAGCAACGCCAGCACTGGTAGGCACCGCAAAGAATGGTGAGCAGGTCTGAGAGTTGCAGCACTGACGTTCATGGCCGCACTACTGACAGCAGCCAAGAGGTGCAAACACTCAAGTGTCCGTTAACAGACGAACAGACTGAGGGAAAGACGTCTACCCCAGTGTGGAGTATTATTCAGCCTGAAAAAGAATGAAATCCTGAACTCTGCTACCTCAGACTGAAATAAAAGGTACACAAAAGAACTCCCGCTGTGTGATCACACTTCAGTGAGGTCCCCCGGAGTCCTCAGAGTCACAGGGACAGAAAGTGGATAGGCTGCCAGGGCCAGGGGTGGGGAAGGATGGGAGGGGAGGGCTTAATGGAGACAGGATTTGAGTTTTGCAAGTGAAAAAGTCCTGTAGACCTACAGCGTGCTCAACACAGCTAAAACATGGTTGAAAATAATTAAGATGGTGAACACTGGGTGGGCGAGACAGCCCAGCCAGGAAAAGTGCTTCCCACAGTACCTGTGCGCTGAGTTTGAACCTGGGATCCCATGGTGGAAGGGGAAAACTGACACCTGCAGGTTGTCTTCTGACCGTCACACAAGCACCATGACACACATATGCACACACATCATACACACACATACACAATAAAAAGATGGTATTGTTCATTTTTTAATTCCAATTAAAAGCTTAAGAAGGGTAACTGCTGTAATCCACATTGTTCAAAGACCAAAGACTGTGAGGTGTGGAAGCATAAGATTGGACAAGACCAGAATGTCATGAGACTGGGATGTCAGCACTCCCTTGGGGGTGTGGGGCACCAAGTCAGTATTTTGAAGCTTAGTTTTATTTATTTACTATTTATTTATTTATTTATATTTTTGTTTGTTTTATGAAACAAGGTCTCAGTATGTTGCCTAAGCTGACCTCAGCTTCATGGTACCCCTCCTGGCTTAGCCTAGCTAGTGCTGGGTACTCACAGGTGTGCACCTCTGTGCCTGGCTCAACTGCTTTTTGTTGTGTTTATGGTTCTTGTTCTGAGGCAGGGTCTCTGTAACTGGGCTGTTCCTAGACCTAAGATAGCCCAGGCTGGCCTCCAATTTGTGGAAATTCTCCCATCTCTGCCTCCCCAGTGCTGGGATTTCAGGTCTGTGCCGCTGGGTTTGGTTTTTGAATCTTGGTTTTTAAACATTGTATTTATTATTTTTATTTTCTATGTATGGGTATATTGCCTACATGCATTTAAGTGCACCAATGTTGTATAATGCCCGCAGAAGTCAGAAGAGGGCATCAGATCCCAGGGAATTGGAGTTATGGACAGTTGTTAGCTGCCATGGGGGTGCTGGGAACTGAACCTGGGTTCTCTACAAGAGCAGCCAGTGCTCTTAACCACCAGCCTCTCTCCAGCCCCGAATTTTGCTTTTTAAATGGAAAAAAATCTGTACCAGCAAAGGGCTAAGGTACCTGGTGCTTCCCCTCACCATGCCCTGGTGTGACTCTGGGACAGAGGGAAGGGCTCAGGAAATCCATGCGGAGGGTGGACTCATGCTAATAACAAGGCAGCACTTTCTGTTCCTTAGCTGGGAAGTGCATTACATTGAAGGGAGCTGTAGTAACGGCTATGAGGTCTGTGGGCTCCGTGCCATCCTCTGTTTCCTGTGGTTCTTTCCAACGGAAGAGCTAATGCTTTGTATGTGTGTGAATGCACAGGTGTGTAGGGCACGTGTGCTTGCGGGGGCACATGCACATGAGTGGAGGCCAGAGGTCAGCCTTGGGTGATGACATAGATTCCTCAGGTGCTGTTCACCTTGTTTTAGACACGGGATCTCTCACTGATCTTGAACTTGCCAAGTAGACAAGGCTGAATGGCCAGAGAGTCCCACAGGCCTGCCCATCTCCATCTCCCTGTGTTGGAATTAGGAGCGTGCGCCACTATGTGGGTTTGTTGTCGTTAACCCTTTTTTTTCTAACATGGCTTCCCATAGGAATAACTTCTGGAGTAATGACCTTGTTAACCTTGTACCAAAAAGCTACTCTCTATAGTGCAAACATGCTCAGAGCCAAGTGTCCTTGTGACCTGGGCATATGACCTTGGTTTCTCAGGTCCCACTTTGCCCTCCACCCAAGATAATGAATGAGCGTGGATGTGCCGAACTAGCAGATCAAAGCACTGAATGCAGCATTTTCCTGTCTTCTTGGAAGCAGCAGATGGAAGAGCACTTGACTTTGTGTGTATAAGATAGTTTATGCCTAGGGATCGTAGGGCAAGATTCTCAGGTAAGACATGGGTGGATCCAACTTGTAGTTACTGGAGAAATGATTTTGAATCAAAGTGAGACCTGGCTCAGGAGCACAGCTCCATGAGAAATCTGAAGGAACGGACTCTGGGGTGCATGCAGGTCTACTCTCAGCTATTAACACTTAATGCTAAGGGTCAAGCTCATTACTTATTCAGGTAAATCTATAATATGGCTTTGTAAAGCTGTGGGTTCTGTGGATCGAACTCAGTTGTACTTGCAAGGTATGGACTTTACTGACAGACCCCTCTCCCCAACCCTAAAAACAATTTAAATGGTGGGGTGCAAGGATGAAGTGTTTCCTTGGAATTTCTGATGGAAGAGACAACAGACCGGATGAACCCACATATGTGTGGACCTTACTCGGACCTGTTTATAACGGTCAGGAAAGAGGGCATGAGGTGATGGACTGCATGTCAGATGGTACCAAGAAGTTATGGAGATTGCTTTTTGATATGATAGTGGATTAAGGTCATGATTGTGTGTGTGTGTGTGTGTGTGTGTGTGGTATAAGCATGTGTATGTGTCATGTGTGTGGTGTATGTATGTGTTGTATGCATCTATGTGTGTGTCTGTGGGTACACTTGCCTGTGCATGCCAGAGGTCAATGTTGGGTGTCTTCCTCATTCATTTCCTACCTTATTTTCTGAGACAGGGTCTCTCACTGAACCTGGAACTCACTTTTTGGCTAGACTGACTGGCCAGTGAGGCCTCAGGACCCACCTCCCTCCACCTGCCCTGGTGGTTTTTACATGGGAGCCAGGTATCTAAGCTCAGTTCCCCATGCTTGTGGAGCACTTTCTTCACTGAACTGTCTCCACAGCCCCTGAGGTTATGATTTTAGAGACGAGTAGGGGCTGGAGAGATGGCTCAGGGATTTGGCATGTGTGGCTCTAGCAGAGGACCAGTGTTCAGTTTCCACCACCCACATTGGGTGGCTTACAATCACCTCTAACTCCAGCTCTACGGTATCTGGTGCCCTTTTGTGGCCTCCAAGAGCACCTGCAGGCACATGCACATACCCGCATAGACACACACACACACACACACACACACACACACAATTTAAAATAATAAAAATAAATCTTAATCCTGGCACTTGAGAGGCAGAAGTAGCTGGATCTCTATGAGATCAAGGCCAGCCTGGTCTACATAGTGAGTTCCAGGCTAGCTGGGGCTACAGGGAGACCCTGTTTCAACAAACAACAAATGTTTAAAGAGAAGAGTGCTCATGTAATCTTATGGATTTGGTTATGGGATATCTGAATTGCCCTCAGACGAGGTGCTGGGGTGGTGCTTTACCCTGACCAACAACCAGCCTTTGGTTTGCTCTTGTGCAGGAGCCTAGCCATGAGCTGGTGGGGACACACCTGCGAGCTCTGGATTCTGTGTGAGGACTGAAGGGAAGGTGATCTTTCCCAGGGCTTCCTTTCTGTGGAGATTTGGCCACTCTTGCTCAGTCCATGGGCTCTCACACACTGTTTCACATGGGAAAAGATCTGTGTGCTCAGAAAAAGTGCTGGACACCAGGGGCCCCTGTCTCCTTCTCCTCAAGAGGAGCTAGGGTGTGCTTGGGGCCTGATGACCGGTGGACAGAGCTCAGAGCTCCTGTCACTGGCTGTCTATCAGAACATTTGCGTAGCCACCGCAGACCTGGGCTAGAGATCCCCTTGTGCAGGGTCGGGTGGGAGATGACCTCCTCCTCCAGCATGCTACAAAACCTGGATCCCTTCCCCTCCCCCCAGGATCCCTTCCCCTCACAGGGTGGGACCCAGAGGGTTCCTGAGGGTCCTGACAGGTACCTCTGCTCTCAGGCCCACCTTGCCCAGGTAGAGGACAGAGCTGGAGTCAGTTGGACAGGGTCTGTGGGGGACTGAGGCAGGTGAGGGGGACCTCAGCCTGGAAGGGGTAGAGGAGGCAGAGAAAGGCCCCTGGGCTGGGCCGGCATCTCTCATGTGTCCTTCAAAGGGGGCAGCTCAGTGCCATGGCCTGTGGTGGCTCTGTTGCTGTTCTACGTGGCACTCTTGTGCCTGGTGCTGCTTAGGTGTGCCCCTTGCTGTAAACAGCTGCCCAAGCCCTGACCCAGGCTGGGGTGCTCAAGTTGCCTCCAGGGAGGACCCCCACAGTTGAGCCCAGACTACTTGGGGAGTCATAGGGTTTCGGCAAAACTTGGAAACTCAAGAGGCATCCAGCCCTGGAGGGGACCAATGTGGAGACCAAGCTTCTCAGGGCGGGAAGGGCAGGGGAGAGGGAACCTGCGTGAGGCCAGGCCCACGCAGAGGTGGCAGCTGCCTCAACCCTCAGATTTGGTACTCCTGCGAGACCATCCTCGCCCCAGTGCATGCTGGGTTCTGTAGGTTCATGCCTGGAGATTGGGCCACCTAAGCCATCGGGTCTATGTGGGTAATAGCTGACTCGGGTCCCCTGGCCACAGTAGGGAACCAGTGGCAGATGGCTAGACGGGGAGCGTATCACTAAGCCGAGCCTGGAGCAGGCAGCAGGGGATTCTGCACCAGGGGCAGGTGCACACACAGGAGGTATGGAGCCTGGCCCCACCTCATGATCTAGGGCATGTACTATGTCTGCTGTACCTCAGTTTACCCTCTGTAAAGGGTGGCACAGGCACCCATAGGGCCTGCTGTGAGGGTTTGATGGCACCCTGAGGAAGTGCCGGCTCAGGACCCCAGATTCCCCACTGAGGTGTACCTCCATGTGCCCATTCTCAGCTGCGTCGTGCAGGGGGGTCCCGCCCCAGGAGTCTCTCATGATGGGGGCACCCATGAGCAGGAGCCGGTCTAGAATAGGCGTGTGGCCACCCCGAGCCGCAAAGTGCAGGGCTGTAGCCCCCTCGTTATCTCGTGCTGTTAGGCCGATGTCTGTGAACGTGACCTGGTGGGAGGGAAGACTGTCAGCTGAGGGTGACCACCCCCAGGCATGAGAGGCAGGGGCACTCAGAGCTGAAGTGGGAACTAACCCCAGGAGTGAACCTCAGGGAACAGCAATGACATCCCTAGGAAGCCCTGAGACAGAACAGGCTCACCCCACAGGCCCTGTGACCCACGTGACATCCTGGGCCAGAGTGCACAAGCATCCTAGAGGCATGGATGCTCCAGCACCTTTCTCCACTGCCCTGGCTCAGAGATGGTCACAGTTCTACAACCTGTCCTGCTGGTCCCTGGAACCCAGCTGGGACCCTCTCGGGGTGTCCAGTCAAGAGCTGTGGCCACCTTTCTCCCATGGCTGGCACACTGAAATGTGGGCATCTGGGATAACCAGCCATTGATTTGTTCTTTGGGGAGAGGTAGGCTCTGCAGAGGAATCCGTGTCTTGACAGGCAGGGCTAAGGACTATGGTGTCTCTTCTCCTCTCCCTTCCTGTTGCCAGGAATGGGGCCAATGTTTCCCATGGAGGAGAGGCACCCCTATAGTAGAGAAGAGCCTATACCCCAAGCTGTCTCAAGGAATCCACAGCCTACTGTGCTTGTCAGGATGAGCACAGAGGGTGGCCCCAGGGGACAGGGCAGGGGTGCTTTAGGGATTCCCCATTAAGATGTGCTTTCTGGGCCTGGGACCCTTTGGCCACTTCTTTCCCAGGACAGAGCATGACTACCTCAGTAGATGCCCCACCTGTGTCCTGCTGCTCGCCACTGTCATGGCTACATTTCCCCTCACATCCCACTGGCTCACACTGGAAATGTGGCCCACTCAGAGTCTCAGATCTGGGGAACAGCACAGGTGGGGGCCATGGCCTGGAGTGAGCAGGTCAGACTGATGATAGGCAAGGTTATGGGATGTCAGGAAGCTGTGTGGCTGGGAGCTGAGGCTTCCTCCTGGGGAGACTTGGAGTGGGGGAGTGGGGGCTGCACTGGAGACACACTGGTGCCCAGGCATGTGTGGCAGGGAAAACTGGAGGTAACTGCCAGCAAGCCCCTGGGACCAAGGTGAACAGGCTGGGTGTCAAACTGAAGACCTGGGGAGTCTCGCTGCTTCCTGTCCATTGCTCATTAATGGCCTCCTTGTGCTGACTGCCAGGCACAAGGAAGTCAGCAGACAGGGTCCCTGACCTGTGCTCCTGGAGCTTACAGTCCAGGGGTGGACAAAGACTATGGTCACAGTGTGAGCCAGATGTGCAGCCAGCCAGGTGTTGGTATCATGGACACCTGGGGAGCTCACACAGGCACAAGGTGTAGAACTTGAAAGGGCCCTGAAGGGCGGCCAGGAAAAGAACCAGAGGGGAGTGGGGAGGGAGGCCCTGCAAAAAGTGTGAGTCTGGGCAGGGATGTCTGTCCCTTCTCCACCAGCAGCAGAATGGCTCTCTGTAGTGCAGGCAGATTCGCTCAGAGCCCTCCATGGCTCCCCAGTACCCTTAGGAAAGAGCCCTGTCTGGCCAGAGCCCCCTCTTTGCACTCCACCCCAGGCCCAGAGGCCAGGCTCTCCCACCTTTGAGTGTGCTGTGTTCTCTTCCAGGAAACTGCCTTGGGTCCTGCCCTCCAGCCGCCCCTCCTCTTCCGCTTCCTCCTCCAGGGGGCCAGCCCCTGCTCAGACCCCACAGAGACTCTAATGACCCCTGGAGCTCCTGCCTCCCTGTGGGTGGCTGGTTTTCTGTCATGGAGGTGAGAAATGCCTGGCATCCTGTAAGAAGTCACCCTCAACTCTGGCCACTCTGGAGTCTTCGGGTTCCCTTCCTGGAAAAGGTGGGTGGCTGGCCCAGGGCTCTGAGGCAGCAGGGCCCGAATGTGGCTGAATGGCTCAGGTGAAGCCATGTGGGCACCAGTGACAGAGCACCTGGCGAGCCATCAACCCTGAGAGAGCCCTGGAAGCATACCCTACGCCTGGGAAGAGGCCCAGAGAGCCCCAGAGCACCATTTGCGCCACAGTCCATGGACTTTCCAGAGATATGGAGTCCATCTGACACCCCAGCTGCCCTGTGGGACCCTGGTGCCCGAGAACCCCCTCCAGGCTTGGGCTCCAGGGCCTGGACTCTCTGGGTGTCCTGTCTTCCCCGCAGTGTCTCCTTACCAGCCAGACGACCAGCGAGTAGTGGCCACGGGCAGCTGCAGCATGCAGTGCACTCATGCCGTCCAGGGCACGCAGGCGCACGTCAGCACCACAGTCCTTCACCAGAAACTGTGCCAGGTGCAGGTGGCCCTCTTGGCAGGCCAGGTAGAGTGGGGAGGCACCGCTGCGTGTCCGCTGGTTCACACCACTGGGCAGAGGGAAGGAGGCTCAGTGGGCTGCACCCAGAGCTGTCCCCAGTGAGGTCAGACAGGAGAAGCATTTTGGGAAAGTGTCAACAACCTTAACTGATTCTGTTTTCTCATTTGTCTCCACAGAGACACAGATCTGCTCCAACTCCCAAGGGACCCTCTGCCTCTGTGCCCCTGAGACTGCCACAGAGCAGCCCTGAGGGACGTGGATGCCTGTGTCCACAGAGCAGCCCTGAGGGACGTGGATGCCTGTGTCCATGGAGCAGCCCCTTCACATTGCTTCGGTGCTGTGCTCACTGGGCTGGGGTGATGGTGACCTCCTCTTGTGGTAAGGCTCTTCACCTTCCTGGCTCAAACTTTCCTCTTGGCTCTCTGATCATGCCCCGGCCTTGTCCCATCCTCACCTCCAGGGCCTTGGGCCAGGGCGGTGAGCAACGACATGCACACGACACACTAGGTGACTTAAGATCCACCCCTCACAGGGCCTGCCTTAAGGCCACCAGCATGTCCTCCTCTGTCTCCTCTCTGTGCAGCCCCCCTCAGTGGCCAGGCTCCCACAGCAGGGCTCTAGGTGCTCACCTGCTGTGGGCAGCAGCCAGGAGTTTCAGACAGGTCAGGTCCCCGCTGACAGCAGCGTGGTGCAGTGGCAAGGCCCCCTCCAGCGTCTCCAGTGTGGCCAAGTGGCCCTCACGCAGCAGCCACTCCACCAGCACCGGGTGTCCAAAGCGGGCCGCCAGGTGCAGCGGGGAGACACCCGAGGCATCTTGGTCCTACCAAGGCACAAGCAGGGCACTGAGCTGTGCAGACCCCAATGCAGCCCTTCTGGGCAGTGCCAAAGTGACCAGAGCCAGCAGAGTCTGGGCTCATGGAGAACCCAGAGCTGCCTGCAGCCCTACTGATAGCTGGCTCCCTCCTCCTTCCTCCACTCCTCTGCTGGGACTGAGGAAGAGGCAGGGCTACCCTGGGGTCCCACTCACACCAGACTGGCCACCTTCCTCATCAGCTGAGTCCCTGCACACTCTGCTCAGGCTCAGAAAGGCTTCTGCTAGCCCAATGAAGCCCGCCATGAGTGTCCCAGGACACCTGCCTCTGGGCCTCTGCCCTTCATCTCTCCTCTGGCCACAGGTCCCCAAGGCCAGAGAGCATCTCCATTGGCAGACCTGGCAATTCTCTGAGGGCTCCATGATCCAAGTGAGTCTGGAAATGGGCCTGAGCCTACCCACTGCCCTCAAGATCATTAGAGGATGTGGAGGCTGGAGCCCGCGACTGCTCTGCACGATGTGCTGTCTCTGTCTCCATCCAGCTCTACTTCCTCATGTTCCTAAGAATGCAGCCAGGGCTGACAACAGTTCTAAGGTCTTTGACCTGTACCAAGCAGGCCTGGGCATGCAGGCAAGGAGGAGCCCTGGTAGAAATGCTCTGGATGGGACAGTCCCTGAGTCTATAGGGTCTTCTCACCAGGACAGCTCTCACTACATCCCAGCCTGAGTCCTCAGGGCCCCAAGATCCCGAGTTCCCATGGTGACACCTCTTGACCCACAGGCCCTGTAGATCAGGTCCACTCAAGGATGGGGCCCTGAACACAGACAAGGCCACCTCTAGCAGTGTCAGGTGCTCCCAGCTGGAGGAGGAGTAGAGAAAGCACTCCTCTTGTGCCAGCACTTAGTACATACAAGGGTGACTGATGTAACAACCTCGGTGTTCAACGGCTTTGTGTTGTTCCAGGAGGATGGGGAGGGTGGGAGGTAGAGACACACAATTCTGGTTGAGAGCCCAGAGTTCCTCAGGGATCAGACCTTCCAGGCTCACCCCTCTGTGAGTCCACCCCAGTCAGCTTCACCGAGATCAGGTGTGGGGCTGCCCCATTTCTGCTTACCTGCAGCCCACAGCCCCCATTATGGACCAGCCAACACAGCTCTGCCAAGTTGCCAGTGGCCGCTGCGTCGTGCACTGGCGTGGCCCCGTTGTGGGCCCGCTGATTGCCGGGCAGCTTGGCCCGCTGCACCAGGAACTTGACACAGTCCAGGTGGCCAGCCCGGGAGGCATGGTGTACCAGGCCAGCCCCCAGGGCATCAGTGACGCCAGGGCTCAGAGCACCAGCCTCGAACAGTCGTTCCAAGGTGGCCACATCCCCGTCCCTGGAGGCCAGCAGCGCCTGCTGCTCCTCCATCCTCAGGCCCGGTTCTCAGTGACGGCTTGTACGCAGGCCCGGCCGGGCTTCCCGTTTCAGGCGTGGACGCAGCTGTGGGCTCTGGTTACCAGATAAGCAGCTCACAGGGCAGATGGGAGGCAGCAACAGGGGGGCAGGCCTGGGGAAGAGCCCTCAAAGCCCTGCCCAAGCTACTCCCACTGGGTGCTGGAAGCTTTGGAGCATGGGGAGTGCAGGTCCTGGGGGAAGGGCTATGAGGAGCAGCTGGAGCCTGTCACCTATGGGGGAAGGAAGCCTCAGCGGGGTTCTTGGCCTCAGACAGATCTCTAGCACTCCAGCACCTGGAGGGTGTTTGCAGCTACAGACAGCTCAGGCTTAGAAACCTGCTCTCAGCCCCATCAGGCATGTCAGCAGAGATCGCAGGAGACTTCTCAATTCTCACTGAAGTGTGGACCCACTGTGATGCCCCTTAGGGGCTAAATGCCCTCACACTCAGAGAAGCCCCAAGCCTCCTAGGACTCTACATTTGATTTTTGTTTTATTTTCTTGAGACAATATCTCACTATGTGGCCCTGGCTAGCCTAGAACTTGCTATGTAGACTAGGCTGGCCTCAAACTCACAGATCCGCCTGCCTATGCCTCCTGAGTGCTGGGATTAAAGGTGTGAGCTGGCTGGCTCTACATCCGAATCTGGATACTTGGCTGCCCTCAGCCAGATGCTGGGTGAGCATCAGGTGGCTGCTGGATGGGAGGGCCTCTAAGATAAGATCAGGCGTCCAGAGCCCTGCCTCGCCCTCTCTGACCACAGCATTTTTCCAGATTCTTCAGAGGGCCTGGACTGTCTGTGGTCCTTGGCTCAGGTTTCTTCTAGTGCCGCGGTCAGCCCGGTCAACAGAAGCCCAGGACAGCAGGCAAGCACAGAAATCTTTCATTGCTTCATTTAATTTCTGACAGTTCTTTCAGCACATTGTACAGTCCTTTGGACTGTAAAACCGAAATTTACCAGTGTTACTCTTGAAAATTATTCCTATGTAAATATTGGCACGATGTGTGCCAATTTCTGTAAAGATGACAGAAGCCTTTTGCAAATAAAATTAAAATTAAAGCTGAGTGAGGGACAATCAGTTTCCCACCCCAAGAATGACCCAGACCAGGACCAGCCGTCCCTTAGTGAGGCTGGAGCTGAATCCCTGAGTGAAGGTAAAGGAGGAGACATGTGGCAGGGTGAACTGTGGCCTCCGAGAGCCTGGATGGCACGAGGCTGTGCTGGGAGACCTGTCAGGCCCGGGAGGCACGGCACACTGAGGTTGGGGAAGAGCACAGCAGGGTGGCATTTGGAAAAGGCATAGGAATCCTGGGAGAATGCTTTGTAGGTGCACATGGGAGGCCGTAGGTGAAGAAAAAAAAAAATTAAGTTTCCTATTTTCACGATAGCAGCTAACTGGCAGAGGGTTACACTGGATTTTATCTTCCGGACAAAATACCTTCTAGGGCTGAGTATTCCTGACAGGCTGACGCAGTTCCCAAAGGGGCACACTTCCATTTCCACATGGCCTTTCAGAAAGTACCAGGAAGACAGTCCTATGAGGGCACTGGTGTCCTGGGCCTATAAGGCTCGGGGCTAGGGTAGGGTTCTGTGTGCCAGTCAGGCCCCCACTGTTCCCCGCCCCAGAGTGAGACAGCCATCCCAGTGCGGCTCTTGAGAAGGGACAACTCAGGGGCCAGCTGCCTTAGCAAGGGGCTTCCTATGGATTGAGTGGCCAAGGTTCTCTCTGGCCACTGAGGGCAAGAGAGGCCTCTAGCCCTAGATCTGGCTCTCCAGCTGGGCCACGGCCTGCTTCAGGTCCTCCACAACAAGGTCCACTTCAGACCTGGTGGTGCTGCGGCCCACACTGAGCCGGAGTGCGTTCCGGGCCACGTCCACAGGGATGCCACAGCTCAGCAGCACTGGGGATGGCCTGCGGGGTGGGGACAGAGGAAGAGTTTGTCTTTGTGTTCCTTGCCTCTCAGCCAGGTCCTCATGTTGAGGATGTGCTGTGTGGGCCCAGTGCCCACCCGCCTGGCCTGGCTGACATTCACCCCTTGGTCCTGCTCCCAACTCCCTGGACCAAACATGGTTAAGCCACTCATGGTTGAGGGCCCGCTAAAGCCTCCCATCACTCCTGTACACTCTTGTGCTCCAGGTGGGGGTGGCACGCTTCCTGACTTCCGAGCGCCCTCCTTCCCTGGGGCAGCCAGCTGTGTCTGGCTTGGTGCTGAGCCCTGGGATCCTGGGGCTTTCTTGTACTTGCGGTCAGAGGCCAGAGGTCATTCAGACTGACAGAGCAAAAGCAAAGAACCTCCCCTTTCACGGGGTGCTGAGCTGCGGCAAGTGCTTTGCACACACGGTCAGGCCAGTGCTCATGGAGGGACAGGTGGGACAGCCAAGCCGGCTTCCCTGCTGCAGGGCTATAGGAGGTGACAGAACGCTGGTGCCAAGGCCCACCCAAGCTGCCCAAGCAAACTCCTCATTCGCACAGCCCTGGCAGAGGATGATCTCATTCACAGGACCACCTGGATGAGAAGGTGGTCACATCAGGCAAGGCACTGATTGGCCTGGGCACCTGCTGCTCCTGCTGTCCAGACTTAAAGCAGAATCTACTGCCCACCCCCTCAGCCTCCTTGGCCATGAGCCCTGCAGAGTGCTGACCTTGAAGCCCCAGGGGCACTGTCACTCTGGTCACTCAAACCCCTTTCCTACTGCTGTACGCTGTCCCCAGCCCTTGATGCCAGTGCCAGGAGGGCACAGAAGCCATCGGAAGACTGACCTCATTTCCTGCCAAAGAGCTGTCTTCTTGTTGCTCCCATTCTTTGAGGCCCACTGGCCACTTGTGCTGCCACCAGCCCCATCTTGATGGCTACATCCCCAAAGCCCTGGGCCTGACAGCATGGCCACTCTGCCTCATCTTTCTCATCTGAGAATGGAGTTCTCCAAGATCTTTCTCTCAGGGTCGTGGTGAACCTTCCCTGAGCATTGCCACCTAGCACTCCATCAGTGGCAGCCCATGTCCTCCCTGTCTGCGCACCTGCCCCAGCTGGGTCAGCCTCCCTGCTTTTGAGGGAGCCTCAGCCATATAATGGACTCGAGGTCTTGTCTGCTCCCAGCCCCAGGGCCTCTCTCTTCTGTAAGCCACTGAGCCCTGGGACCTGTCTTCTTTGTCCCCCTGTGCTGGCTGGCACAGGGACCCTCTGCATCCTCCCTTCCTGTACCCACCGCACCACCCCGCCAGCTTTGGGCTGGCTGCCGATTGCTGTGCTGCCGCCTGGAGCCTGGTCCCTTCCCCCAGCTCTTCTCTCACCCACAGGCACCCACACTCACAGTCAGCCAGGTGCTGTGGTCTGCATTCAGGGGTCAAGCCCTCAGTCCCCACCACCTCCATCCAAGATCTGGGTGTAGCCAAGATACTCACCTGTCTGCGAGGTGGGAGTGGCACGAAGCCCCTGCGCTGGCCAGCAGTGTCCGGCACTGTGCAAGCACCATGTAGCCTGTGAGGACAGTATACGACCTCAGATGTAGGACTTGGGCCGTCTCCCATTCTTTCCAGCCTCTGGGGCCTGGTTCCGTCCCTTCCACCGCCCACCGAATCTCAGTGCCAGAGAACTCACAGTATCCAGGGAAATCACTTCCTCTCTCTCCCAGCTACTCTCTTCAATGGCTTTCTAACCAAGCACCTCTGGGACACTGGGAGTCTGCCGGGCTGCTTTGCTTAAAGTGCTAGGTAGTACTCAGGTTGGCTAATACCATTCAGGCCCTCGGGAGCCTGCTGTGCTCACCCAGGGGCTCTGCCCTCTTCCTGGGAACCCAGGATTAAACCCTGTGATGGTTTGAATGAGAAATGGCGCCCATAGGCTCAGGTATTTGAACACTTGGTCCTCAGTTGGTGGTGCTGTTTGGGGAGGTGTGGCCTCCTGGGGAAAGTATCACTGGGAGAGGTGTGTGTGTGTGGGGGTGAGAGTCCATAGCTCGCCCACTTCCAGTTCTCTCTCTGTTTTGTGCTTGCAGTTAAGATGTGATCTCCTGCCCAAGGCCTGCTGCTTGCTGCCATGCCTTCCCTCCAGGGTGGACTCACCCCTCTGGAATCATAAGCCCGAAGAAACTCTTTGGTGAGTCACTTTTGGTCATGGTGTTTTATCACAGCAAAGGAAAAGTAACTACTATAAATCCTAAAACTCCAGGGCTGCTGGTGTAATTAAACTAAGAACCTCTGTGGCACTTAAATCAACACAGGTCGATGCTGGGCACAGTTACCCCTAGGGGAGCAGGGTTAGAGGGCAGGGAATGCTTCTCTCCACAATAAGTCTGGCCGGAGGGTTAGCAACCCTTATTATATTTCCTCCCAACAAGCATGTGATTCGGCTCAAGTTTCCATTGTGTCCCGCCAGTGTGGCAGGCTTCTCTGTAATCCAGGGAGATGAGGGCTGACACCCTCTTTGAAGACGTCAAAAGTTGCCCGCAGGTGTGGCTTGTGTGCTCTCTGGGCCACCAGAGGCCCCGAGTGAAACATGGGTCTGAGGCCTGGCCTGTGGCTCCCAGGGAACGGAGCCAAGTGTTGCCCCCATCGGGAAGGAGCCCTGGCTGCTCCTGGGAAGATGCCACCCAAACACAGGGCATGTTCCTACACTTCACCCTCAGACGACTATCACAGAGGCCTCTGTGCCTCCTCTCGTAAAACTCTGCACAGAGGCAGACAAGCATGTCTAAAGTTGGAATGACTGTCTTTCTCTCCTAAGACCAGCTGATCCGGGAAGTCCGCACTCAGCACTGAAGTGAGTCACTTCAGAAAGTGCCCTGCTAACATCACCTGCCTTGGGCCCTCAACCTGGCTTGGAATCCCCAGTGAACATACGGAACAGGGCAAGACCAGTAGTCACCTCGAAGCTGGGATCCCTGGATGGAAAGGTTGCAGGTGTTGGGAAGCCGCTCAGCTCCTGGAAAACGGCTGTTTAAATGGATTCTCTTACCAAATTCAGCCTAAAACCAAAACAACACACATACACTCCATCAGTTAGAGGTAGTCTGAGAGACACCCATCCCCCAGCAACTCGCTGAAGTTGACTTTCCTGGGAAGTGAAATCTCAACCTGTGTTCATCCTGTAGCCGAGGGGACAGGCCACCAACAGCAATATTAGGACTGACGAGTCCTGAACACAACTGCCCTCCACACATCCATGCCTGTGGGGCTCCTGCTTGGTCCAGGACTCTCCTTGGGGATTTCTGATGCTAGCTGACTTCCAGCATTCAATTCTGCCCACAGGCCACGACCTCCTGTGCCCCCAGGTCCCCAGAATGCTTCATTCACAGGGAGCGTGTCCGTGCTGCCTATGTCCTCCCACACTGGGGTGCCTACCAGGGGGGCAGATGAGGCTGCAGGGCTGTTTGTCCCCACTCACCTCCAGTCTCTCCTCCAGGTAGTCACGGATGTCTCTCATGTGGGCCTCATAAGCGTCACAGTTTTCAGTCACCAGCTCAGCAGCCTGGGGACAGAGATGCATAATAGTGTAGGGAAGTGATCCCAGAGGCAGACTCACTGTCACCAACCAGGTGGCCTTTCCTGGCCTCTGCTTGTGCTCCTGAAGGGTGTGCAAGCTAAGCCCCATGAGCTGCCTCTGCATGTCCAGCAGGGATTTATCACCAGGAGCCTCCTACAGGCTCCAGGTGTCATAGACAGCCCAGCAAAGAGTCCCAGGGGATCCCAGTCCTTAAGATGTGAGTCCAGAGAGGGCAAAACCAAGGAGGCGGGCAGGCAGACTCACAGCTATGAAGGGGTCAGCACTCATGAAGGGACCATACAGGCCCCTGGGATTCCAAGGAAATAGCCAGCAAGGACAGGAAGGCCAGGCAAGGAGAGACCAGTGTGTCTCCTGGACAGCTGCCTACTATGGCAAAGGCGACCCCCCCAGGTCTGAGGAGGGGGGCCGTGGGAACAAATGTAGTGAGATCTGGTAAGAGCTAGGATGACCTGCTGTGACACTTGAGGGTCACTCCAGCTGCTGTGCGGGAGGCCCACAGACGCCACGGCAGACACCCAGTAAGGGACAGGGACAACTTCACCTACTGCTGTGGGGCATGCAAATGGACAGGAGGCGTCCTTGACACTCAGGACAGGACCTTAGACGCAGGGATGAAAAAGGGAATGTCCAAGGTATCTCCGAGCCTTGTGAGGGCCTAGATAGTGGGGGGTGCCTCAGGAAGACGAAGAGGCACCTGGGCAGTTTTGGACCTGGAGTGTAATAGTTAACTTCACTGCCAGCTAGAATGGCTTTAGAATTGCTGTGGAGACACATCTTAGGCTCTGTCTGTGACAGGGAGGGAAGACACACCCTGAGTGTAGGCAGCACCATCCCATGCACTGGGGTCCAGGACTGAATGAAAAGGAGAAAGGGGGCCGAGCACCAGCGTTCATCACTCGCTGTTTCCTGACTATGGATGCAACATGACCGTCCCTTTTCAGCCCATCTCTGAAAAGTTAGCAGAGCACGGGTCCCAGCAGAGACAGGACAGCGATACCACACCCGGCAGATCAACAGGGGACCAGCGGGCCCGATGGCCAGGGCGGCCAGCATTTTCCCTCTCATCCCATCATGGGGTTCCAGGGTTCAAGCTCATGCTGCCAAGCTTCATGACCAGCACCTTTACTCCTGCGCCATCTCTTCCTGGAGGAAGGAGCAGTGCTCTGGCTTTGCTGTTTTGATTCTTGAGACAGGATCTTGTTATGCAGCCCCAGCTGGCCTGGAGCTCACTATGCAGGCCAGGGCTGGCCTGAAACTCACAGAGATCCACCTGCCAAAGCCACTGCTGGCCAAGGGAATGACGTCCATCCCAGGTCCCCCATTCTTACCTTCCCAAGGCCGGCAATCATGGGGGTGTTCTCGGTCCTGCAGAAGACAAGATGTAGTGCAGAGTAAGCCAATGCAGCAGGAAGGGATCCAGGAGTTACTGAGCTCAAGTTCGGCACACCACCCCCTTAACCACTGGCTTCAAGGGGCTCTGCAGCAGCCACAGACCCTAGCGTCTACACTACAGCGATGGTCCACTGTGGGCAATACACACTAGGTGTCCACAGTGACAAGTCCATCTCCACCCTTCTCCTACCCAGAGTGCCCCATCCTTCTGAGGACCTCTTTGTCCTCAGGCTCCCAGTATAACGTGGGCTGGGACAATCCTGTGTCCTAGTGAGCTCAAGCACCAGCTGGCAAGGGGAGTGTGCACATACAGGGAAGGGCTGGATGCCAGGATCAGTGGCTCTCACCATCTGATTGTCAAACTGAAATTCTGAATGCTTCAAATTACAGGAAAAACCCCCTATTAACCGAATAATTTTGTTAATTTTAAGTTTTGGCTGAATGAAGTCTTCTTAAGCCTCTGCTGCAGGCTGTTTACCACCAGGTCACTCCGTCCCATCCTGACCTGCATTCTGACACACAAGCGGTGCAGAGGCTTTACCTCATGATTCTGAACACCTTGTCATGCTTATGTACTGAGCATCTTCTTGGATGAACTGTCTGTCTGCTACGTCTTGGCCCATTTTCTGATTCTTTTGCTGTTAAGTTTGGGGAGTTCTCCACGGGTTCGTTAGGAGGCCAGCAGTCCGCACTGGGGTCTTCCTCTGTCATTCTCCACCATAGTTTTTGAGACAGGGTCTCTCACTGAGCCTGGAGTTCACTGATTTGGCCAGACTGGCCGGACAGTGAGTTCTAGGGATCTGCCTGTCTCCACCCAACCCTGTGCTGGGGTTACACACGTGCTCCTACACCTGGCTTTTGCATGGTGCTGGAGATGGAACTCAGGTTCGTATGGCAAGCACATTCTGAACTCAACTGACTCCCCAGCACCAACATGTCTTAAATTTTGATGAAGTCAAACTTCTTTTTAATAGTGCTTTTGGTATGAAGTCCAAGGACTCCCTGCCTCACCCTTTATCCGGTTTTTGTCTTCCCTCTAATAAGTTTTATATTTATGCCGTACACTTCAATCTATTGAGTTATTATTAGGTGTTTTGTCTATAATTTTTTGATACTATTGAATTCTATTTGCCACTATTCTGTTAAAATATTTTCCCATCTAGAGACTTGTCTTCACCTGACAATCAAGTACCCCTGGCAACTGAACATTCTTCTCATTTTTCTACATTAAACTCTTTTATACTTAGCTCTTAATGGGTTCTGGTAGCCAGTATTTCACTTAGTATATTCCTAAATGATAAAATAGTGCTAATGTTGGTTTAAATTAAATTATAAAGGCTTACCCGGAATTAGCTCTCATATTTGAATGATTCAAGTGCTTCAAATCATTGCAAAAATATGTATTTTCCTATTCAGTATAATTTGTATAAAAAGTCGTTTTCAAATTTGTATATATAAATGTATTTGTATAAAACATTTCCCATTGAGGGTTTTAGCCACTTCTGCTTTGACATCAGGTTAGCACGGTCCTTACAACGTGACCTGGAGGCACACGGCACTGTCAAAAGCCAGCTTTCCTCCTTGCCTTGTTTGCTTCTCTGTTGACTACTGGGCTATTGACGGCGTCACTGATCTGTGTGCTAGAACTCTAATGAAAACCAGGTTAGGCTTGTGTTCCGTCTCTCACTGTGTCAGATCCTCCAGCTCATGAGATGGTCTCTCGATTACTTACACTTTGACTCTTCATCTGCACTGTGCAGCTTTTGGTACATAGTTCTACACATTTTACTGGATTTATTTCTGAATATTTTGATTTTAAAGGGTATTTTAATGTACATCTATTTCTACTACTACATAAAAATGGCTTATTTTGATTTTTAAAATATATTTTCATTTCTGTGTATGTCTGTGTGCACGCCACATGTACGCTGGTGTCCAAGAAAGCCAGAAGAGAGCACTGGATTTCTTGAAGCTGGAGTTACAGGCAGTTTTTGAGCCACCTGCTTTTTTTCTCTTCTTGAGACAGGGTCTCATATGGTTCAGGCCGCCCAAACATGTGAGGCTAGCCTTGAACTCCTGACCCTTCTGCCTCTACCTTCCAAGTGCTGGGATTACTGCTTGTTTCTTTTTCCTTTTAAAAATATATGATTTGCCTGTAATTTACTTTTAGTTTCAGTCCACCGTGGTTCAAGAATAAATACCATGATTTCGGTTAGCTCAGTGGCACGCATCCCAGGGCTGTTGGCTGGAGAGTTGAACATGGCAGAGCCTGTTGGTCAAGGTGCTTATGGAGGGTTGTTTTTACTGCTTTGATTTTCTGTCTAGTGGATCGACCCACTGTTGAGAGGGGTACTGAAGTCTCCAACAAGAGCTGTGGGTCCTCCCCCCCCTTCCCTTCCTTCTGGAGACTGAACCTCCTGCATGCCCTCTTCCGGCAAGCACTCCACCTGAGCTCCAGCCCCAGCTCTGGAAGCCTGTTTCTGTTGCTTCCTGCTTGCAGCTCTGCTGTTGGGTGCTTGTGTGTTTCCAACGCTGTCTCCCTGATGGACATGCCCTTCTATTACATGCGGTGTCTTCCGTCTCTGCTCTGGTTCACGGTACCTAATGCTAGAAAGCTGCTTCTGTTTCCTGTTTGCATGAGAAATCTTTCAGTCTTCACATTTGACTTGCCTCTTGGAAAAAAACTCATTTTGAACTGTGTGTGTGTGTGTGTGTGTGTGTGTGTGTGTGTACTACACTTATGAGTACAGTCCCCACTGAGGCCAAAAGAGGAAATCAGATTCCCTGGAGCTGGAGCTACAGGTGGCCGTGAGCCATCCGATGTGGGCGCTGGGACCTGAACTCAGGTCTGCAAGAGCAGGAGGTGCTCTTAACCAAGCCATCTCTCCGGCCCCTGAAGTTTCTTTTAATTGGTGTATTTAAACATTTCTATTGGACATCATTATTGAAATGGCAGCTGTGGTTAGTGCTGTCACCTTGCGAGATCTAAGATCACCTGGGAGACAGGCCCCTGGTCATGGCTGTGGAAGATTTTCTTGATCACATTAATTGAGAAGACTCACCCACTGTGGGTGGTACGATTCCTAGACCACAGACATGGAGATAGTTAAGTTGAGCACAAGCACTCCTCTCTCTGCTTCTTGACTGTGGGGGTAATGTGAGCAGCTGCATGAGACTCCCTCTGCCAGGACCTTCCCACCATGATGGACTATGGGCAGTATGAGCCTTTTTCTCCTACGTGGCTTTTTTGAGTGTTTTACCACAGCAACAGGAAAAGAAACTAAGACGGCAGGGTTTCATTCTGTTCTCCCTTCTTTCTGAGGTGCTGGGAGCAAACACTGGGCCTGGGGTAACAGAGGACATGCTCCACTGAGCTGCATCTCCAGGCTCTGCTCTGTTTCATTCTCCTGTGTCTGAGATGCAGCTTTCTCTCTGCTCTGGATACCACACTCTGTGCATTGGGTTAACAGATACCATGCATTACTGTGTAGTAAGAAAACCTCTCAGATGTTTGGAATTATCATTTTACCAGCTCAAATGAAATACAGAGTCGGGCATGGTGATGCAACCCCTGTAAAGCCAGCAAATGACAGATGGAGGAAGGAGGACCAGGACTTCAAGGCTAACCTCAGCTACGCAGCAAGTTTGAGGCTAGCCCAAGCTACATGAGACCCTGTCTCAAAAAAGTCAAAGCAAATCTAGAAATATTATCACTTTTTATATAGGTTTGCCTTTAGACAATCATCTTGTGTCTCCTCCATATACATTTAACAATCACTTCAGACATTGTTATAATTTTTGCTTATGCTATCAAATGCCTCAGAAAGCTCAAGAGACAAGATGACGACTGTATTTGGTCACAACTTCCCTTATCTTCTCTTCATCTGACAACCTTGATTTCCTCCTCGACCTGAAGATCTCCCCACTGGGCATGGGGGTCTCCGTTGACAGTTCTCTTGCAGCACCTGAAAACTACCCGACTCTCCTCAGCCTCTACGGCTTCCGGTGGGAAATCTGCTTCATCCAGTGTTTTCTATCAACCAGGTGTCACCTTCTCTGTTTGCTTTCAAGACTTTGTCTTTCACTGTTACAAGTTTAAATTCTTGGCTTACTTTTCTTTGGGTTTATCCTGTTTTCCCCCAGCTTTCTGTGTCTGCGTTCATGTTTTTGCTAAGTTTGAGATGTCGGTCATCTCTTTTTTTCTTTTTTAAAAGATTTATTTTATTCTTGTTTTCTGTGTATGTGCTTTGCCTGTATGTATGTTTGTGTTCTTTGTGGGTACCTGCTGCCCATGGAGGCCAGAAGAGAGCATTGGCTCCCATGGAACTGGAGTTACAGACAGTTGTGAGCCGCCATGTGGTGCTGAGAACTGAACCCGGGCCCTCTGGTGCTGGGAACTGAACCCGGGCCCTCTGGTGCTGGGAACTGAACCCGGGCCCTTTGGTGCTGGGAACTGAACCCGGGCCCTCTGAAACGGCAGACAGTGGTTGGACAGCTCAGCCATCTCTCCAGCCCTCATCCATTATTTTCTCTAGTCACCCCTTTCACCCATCTTCCTTTTCTTCTTCAATGTGATGGTGGGTGTCACTCCACTTGCTGTGGCCTAACCAGTCCCGCCGCTTGTCTGGCTGTAGCCCTGCTCTGTTCGCCTCTGCTGCTTTACTTGTTCTCTGTCAGTTCACTGTTTCTTTCCTTCGTCCCCCGTTCTGCTGGTGAGTCCACCCTCGGCTGCACAGGGCCGCTGCACTCTCCAGTCCTCAAGTACTGTTTGGATCTTCGCGTCGATTTGCTGTTTCACGCTTCGAGCGCGGCATGATTCTCGGCAACAGTGCTCTGCGGTCCGCGTCCCTCACTGCTGAGGGTTGGTGCCACTGGTGTTCTTTTTTCATTCTCTTTGAGATATTTCTAGTTCTTGGTGTGAATGATTTTCGTCTGAAACCTGGGCATTTCCATGTGTCATGAGTCTGCATCCTGGTGGTTTCTGTCCCTCCTGGCTGTCCTGGATATGGTTCTGGCAGGGCAGGAACCACGTCCTTGATGCCAGAAGGAAGCTGACACCCACAGCCTCATTCTACTGTGCTTGCCACACGCCCTAGGAGGATGTGTCCTGCCACTGATATGTGGGTGGGACTTCAGGTCCCCTGTGGTCTCTACTGTCACCACAGTGGGGCTGCGGGTGTTTGTTACAGCCTGTGGGTGGCAGCCTGGGTGTCCACTAAGTGTTTGCTGGTGTGGGTGGGTAGCATGGTATCCTGTGGTGACCAGCTGGAACAGGTGTTGGCTAGTGTTCACCTTCTTGATCTGCTGGCTGGCCAGCAGGCTTCACGAGGGCAGTCTCTGTCTGCCTTTCTGCTGGTTCTGAATCTCTGACTTCTTTGGTTCTGAGTGTGGGACTTACACCGAGGAGCTGCCACCACGTTGTGTGTCTCCCCATCTTCTTAGAAGTTCTGACAAAGAGTGGTGCCGGCACTGTTCCTGGTTAAAGCATCACAGTATACAGCGGGAACCCCAGGACTCTCAGGAAAACAGGGTGCCTGTTTGTGCTCTGCTGAGCCCCAAGCAAAGAAAACAGCAGTGAGCTGCAGCCTGTAGGGCCCTGCAGTGTCTCTTCAGTGGGACCAGAAGCGCTGATGCACTTACAAGAGAGGGATTCCGACATGTGCTGTCACCCCAGAGGCTGCAGATCTGAGCCCCACTGTGGAAATCAATCAGTAGGACCAGTTCTGATTTGGGGGTGATGTGGACCATGCTTTGGAGAGACAGAATCGCAAGATGCCACTGGCTGCAGTGGCACCAGTGTGGCCGGCAGGGCAGAGGCGTGCCGACTTTTAACCTTACCCTGGCCTGAAATTCCGCTCTTGTCCACCTCCAAACAGCATGGGGTACAGGGGGGTAAGTTTACCGACCCCTCGTACATACAGAGCACCAATCCTGGGACCGTAGAACTGGAAGGAAAAGCCAGTCGTTTACTCTGAGAACTGCCCTGGGACCTGCTTGGCTGTGTGCTGAGTGTACAGAGCTCTGTGGAGCATGCCTGTTGCTTCCCTGTGGCCCTGGGCTGCCTACCTGCCACAGCTTTGTGCAGAAAGTCACATGAGACCTCAGGTGCAGGGGGAGGAGCCCCAGCCCCAGGAAAGGCAGGTGCTGGGCTTTCTTCCAGCGCTGAGGCAGGAGGACCCTGCATGCTGTATAGCAGAATTGTGAAGGAGAGGGCACTGGAAGCAGAGGTGGCCGGGGGTACATCAGTCCACGTCTCCACGTGCTGTCACATATCAAGCAGCCTCTTTAGGGGCCAGCTAAGGACGGTGCTGCAAAAGTACAGCACAGAGTGCCTGCGACCCATCAGCTCGGGAGATCAGTACAGTCTGAGGGTGTTTGCTGGGAGCTCATCCCTGTCCTCCACCGTGAAGACAAGAGTTGCTGAGACCAAATCTTGCTAAAAGGCATATTTTAATCAACTAGAGAAAGTGGCATTTCCTGAGCTGCCTGTGCTGAGTCCCCCACATGGGCAGGTGAGGTCTTTCTGCACCTGCTTCCCCTGCAGATAGCACTCCTGCTGCTGACCCACTGACTCCTATCCAACCCCTCTACGTCTGGGTGGGTTGGGGTGCCTTGTCATCCCTGCCCTGCCTCCACAAATGGCATCCTAGCTACTACTGACCCATTCCCAACATGCACAGAGCACTGCCTAGGACAAAGCCTTTCTGTGATGCTAGCACATAGCACAGTACCTCCAGTGCCTTGCCCCCAGCTCCTAGGACTCACTGACCACACGTGAGAGATCAGTGCTGCGGAGGGCTCTGTTCTGCAGTGGGCCTTCAAGTCAGAGGGGGACGGCGGCCCCAGCAGACATACCTTATGCCCCACAATGGTCAGGAAGTCCACACCCAGGTCCTCCACATCTACACGTCTCTTCCCTAGTGCCTGTGCGGCATCTGTGTGCATGAAGACCCGAGGCAGACCCGAGGCGGCCCGTCTCTGGTTCAGGGCTTTAATGCGCTGACTGATCTCAGGAACAGGCTGAAGTGGAAGAAGTGAACAGTGAACAGCCACTCTGATGAGGACTGAATGACAGAGATGAACCAGTGAGGGCAGAACAAAGCCAGAGTCAAGGACGGATAAGAACAGGCTGAGTGGAGAAGTGGGAATATCACCACGTCCGGCACTTTCTTCCCTGTGGGATTTCCTAAGACAGAACAAAGGCTGACTCACCATGACGACTCCGGTCTCGTTATTGGCCAGCATGATGGTCACAAGGCATGTGGTGGGCCGGACAGCTGCAAGGATGTCCTCAACCTCTACCTGTCCATTCACCTTTGACACTGGGACAAACGTCACCTCTAAGACACAAACACATGTACCGGGTTAGCCATGCAAATCAACTCCATGATCGTAAAGGAGTGCATTATCAAAGTGCAGGAAACTCTGAAGGGGTAGTCCAAGCCACTGTGGAGAAGCTCAGGCCTGAGGGCGTTCTCAAAACAACAGGCTGGGGGGGAGTAGCTACAGAGGCTGGCAGCCCCTATCACAAGTGAAACGTTATGTGACACATGACCAGACACACTCAGGGAGAGACAGAGAGGAGGGGCTTCTAGGAGAAGTGCTTTAAAAAGCAAAACCACAAAAGGCCCACATGTAACTGAATTAGACTCTAGAGCAAGTTCTGCCCATAGCACTGTCAAAGTCAACAGAGCAGGCAACCCACACTCACTGGGGTCTAACCGCAGGGTGCGCCACCAGCAGCAGACACCCCTCAGAGAAACCTTGGATACAGACAGCCAATGTGAGCCCTCTCAAGCCTCTGCCATCTCAGGATGGATGTGTGCATGACTGTGTGTTGAGATGTGAGATCAATGCCCACTGTCCCTCAAAAAGAAAAAAGAAAATCCGGGTCTTCTTCCATGGTCTGATTTTCTCAACACAGCGCAGTCACTGAGTTTCCTTCAGCTGGAACTATATAGATTTACAGGAAAATTCACTCATGTTTTGAAAAAACATTTAAAAGAACATTGACACCAGAAACATTTGGTTAAAGATGGATGGACAGTGCAGGCCAGTGGCTTGGGCCAGAGGAAGCCAAGTGTCAGATGGGCGCCTGGCTGCAAGTGTCCATCTCAGGCTGTTCCCAGAGGCTGAGGATGCATCTCCTTTCTTATCCCTGTGTCCAGTCTGGGTGAGGTCTCAGCTTCTTTCACAGGGGAGTCTTCAAAGGGCAATTTTATTTTAAGGTTTTTGAGGGCTGCGCCTGAGCTGAGAGCCTTGTCCCCTGAAATTCTGTGGACAAGGGGTGCAAATACCCAGGCAGGTTACATTACACTGGAGTGACGCACAGGTGGATCCTGTGAGATGCTTGAGTAGGCCTTATGACTGTTGTTCATCTGAGGGTCACCATCCATCTCTTAGAGAGGCTGCAACGTGTCAGATTTGAAGAGACAAAGACTGAAAGCAAAAGGCCAGAAAGTGGTGTTCATGCAGCAGTGAGCACAAGATGGCTTCCATGGCTAAAATACTTACACAGAGCCAAGATTTTCAAACAAAAGGTACCAGCGACATCGTAAAATAATAGTCCTGTTTCTAGAACGTATAACAAATACAAACATGCAGGGCCTTAACAGCAGAGCCACAGAACACATGAAGCAAAACTGACAGATTTGAAGGCAGAAATAGGTAATTGGGCAGTGATAGCTGGGTAAATCAAAACACCTTCGATAACGATATAACAGACAGAATTTTAACAGAAACAGAACAACGGTATAAACCAACTAGACTGAACATGCCACCGAAAGAATACATGTTCTTCTCAACTGTGCATGAAAAACCCTTTACCACAGGCCATGCAGCACAAAACAAGTCTAAGACTTTTTAAAGGACTAAAATCAGAAAGTACATTTTCTAAACAGTGTGGGATAAAACTAAAACTCAGTAACAGAAAGTTGTAGACATTAAAACGTGGGACACACTCCTCTCAGTAGGCCAAAGACAATCACAAGAGGAGCCAAGAAACACTTCTTAAATGGTGAAAACAAGACACAATACACTAAACATAGCCATGAGCAGCTAAGGCTGTGTGGAGCGGGACTCGCACCTGTAAGTGCCTACAGTTAAAGAAGGAAAGATTTCAAATCGGCAAAGACACTGGGAGAAGGACAAGCAAACTAAACCTACAGCGAGTGGAAGGGCAAGGTAGCCATCAATACAACAGAGCCCAGAACAGCACGGAGCCCCCTTTTAAAAGCTGGAAATTACAGGGGAGGGGCTCTAAATAACATCAAATTATACTATATGAAAATCACAAAAATTCAATAGGAAAAAAAGTTGAAAATTAAAAGAGAGGGCCAGTGAGATGGTTCAGTAAATAAAGGCGCTGACAACCTAATGGAATAAAAGGACCTACTCAATAGGTTGCTCTCTCTCTCTCTCTCTCTCTCTCTCTCTCTCAAATAAATAAACAAATATAATACAATTTTTTTAAAGGGGGCTGGAGTCAGGTGTGGTTGGACATGCCTTTAATCCCAGCACTCAAGAGGCAGAGGCAGGTGGATCTCTGTGAGAATGAGGCTAGCCTGGTCTATATAGCAAGTTCCAAGTTACCTGGGCCTACAGGGAGACTCTGTGTCAAAAGAAACCAAAAACAAACTGAACAAACAAAAACTGAAAGATTTAACCACAGAGAAAAGTTCAACTCTGGAAGGTACTGACTGGTAACTATCAAAGGTTTGTTTGTTCTCTGCAGCCCAGGCTGACCTCTAACTCACAGCGATGCACTGGCTGGTGATCCTGAGAGCCGGGATTATCTGAGTGAGCCAACACGCCCAGCTGTATCAGAGACTTGAAGGAGAATTAACCTGCCTTCACAAACTCTTTCAAAAACCAGAAGAGAAAGGAAACACTTCCCAACTTATTCTACTAATTTTATCTTGAAGCAGGTGAGGACACCAAAGGAAACGCTGCAGGCCAGTGTTCTCATGGATACTGCCCTGAAAACTCAGGAAATACCCGCGTCTAGCAACTTGCAGAAGATGACGTGCCATGACCAAATAGGGTTTGTCCCAGGAACCCAAGACAGGCTGAACACCCTCAAGTCAAGGCAGTACACCATTACAGAACAAATAACAAACCCCACATAATCATCTCAGTAAGTGCAAAAAACGCTCTTAGCAAACCTAGTACTCATGATGATAAAACCCCACAGACCAAGAATGGAGCTCGCACTGCCTGAGGATGTCCGTGAAAACCCACAGCAGACCTCATGCGTCCTGATGAAAGCACGATGCCATCCCTCTGCTCTGGAGCAAGACAGGATGCCGACACTCACCGTGTCCACTCAACCTTGCCACAGACAGTGGCCTGAGCATTTAGGTAAGAAAAGAAATGAAGAAGACAGCTGGAAAACAAGAGCCAAACTCTGTTTGCAGTTGATGTTTTCTTACATGAAGACGCTCTCAGGAAGGGCTCACTGTGAATGCATGAGGCCCTGGGCCTGAGCATGAAAATATTCATGGGGGCCTAGAAAACTCAGCACTGCTAAACAGCACCAGTGACTAAGCTGAGTGACTAACTGATTCAGTTCACCTCCCCATCAAACTCTATGTTTAGGAGTTTTTTTGCAATAATAAAAAAAGTGATCCTAGGGGGCTGTAGAGATGGCTCAGTGGTTAAGAGCACTGTCTGCTCTTGCAGAGGACTTAAGTTCAGGTCCCAGCACCTACATGGTGGCTAACAACTGTCTGTAACTCAAGTTCCAGGGGATCCGATGCCCTCTCCTGGCCTCTGTGGGAATTGCACACACAGGTGTACCTGCATGCAAAACATTCATACACATAAGATAAAAATAATAAATAAAACATTTAAAAAGTTGTTCTGAGAGAGGGTTTATAACCTGAATTTTTTCTGTTTTTTCTTCTGTTCAAAACTATACCAAGTCATTTACTTATAGTATTATTTAATCTGTAAATTACATTGCTATACATAAAATTATGATTTAAAAACAAAACACAAGATAATCAGATACAAGGACGAACTGGTTCCCCTAGCTCAAAATACACCAGAGCTCCAACTATAGAAACAAAACTACACATCTCCTGGAGCAGAACAGGAATGAACCTTCATGATCTTGGGTAGGGCAAAACCTTCATGACCTTGGGTAGGGCAAAGCCTTCATGACCTTGGGTAGGGCAAAGCCTTCATGACCTTGGGTAGGGCAAAGCCTTCATGACCTTGGGTAGGGCAAAGCCTTCTGAGCTACAACACAAGGGACAAAGGAAATGGTCTAGACTTCATCAAAGTGTTGTTGACTTGTATAAAATTCTTATGATAAATAAAAGGAAAAGTGATCCAATAAAAAAGTGGCAAGGGGCTGAGGGGCTGCTTAGTGGTAAAGTGCTGGCCTAGCATGCCTGAGGCCATGGGTTCAAGCGCCAGCATCACCAAAATCCAAAAAACCCTAAATGGCAAGGATGTGCACAGACATTTCTGAAAGGACGGGGATATATATATATGAAAACCATGGCAAGATGCCCAGAACCACCAGGGAATTACAAATCCAAGGCACAGGGTCACACCACTTTTTGCCCAGGACAACTCTAACAGAAGAGGTCGACAGCAGCTTCTGCCAAGAACCTGAGTGCCTGGTGCCCTCAGTGCACTGATGGCAGTGGATGGTGACACTGATGGTGACACTGCTCTATAAGACAAAGGTTAAGGTTAGTATTAGTTACTGGATCTGTCAAATATTGTTCCTGTACAACCCAGGAATTATAATCCCAGGTATGAGCCCAAGACAAATGGGGACTGTCCACGCACACACTAACGCACCACAGCCCATGGCACGGGGACTGTCCACGCACACACTAATGCACCATGGTCACAGTAGCATTGTTCCTAACATCCCAAAGTAGAAACAGCCTGAGTGTCTGTCCACTGGTGAATAGGCCAATGAAATGCAGTACACATCCTAAACCAAGCCTACACAGACTGGAGTGGATTGGGCTCTTTGAGGTTCAGCAGGCCAGTCCTGGCTGGTTCCCACGTTCCCTTACCAGCCACTTGCTTTTCCAATAGGTGCTCCAGGGGCAGCCGGATAGAGTCGTGTTCTACTGTGCAGGTAATGAAGTGGGGCCTGGCCCCCTCCTCAGGGCTGCACTGCTCAACCTCGTCCCTTCTTTGGGTCTGGTGTTCGTGGAAGCATCTCACCATAGAGTGGATTACTAAATTGTTTGACTGTGGAGATACAACAGAAAGAGCCTTCACTGAAACTGCCCTGGTGGAAGAGGCACCCGGTCCCACGAATTACTTTGTGTGTACGTAATGCATTTAAAAGAAAAGGACAGACCAAAACGACAACTTCCTGAACTGCACCTTTCGAAAGACTTGGCAATTTCAAACTTGCAAAGATCTGAGAATTCATTTCAAATATGCTTGCATTGTCACAAAGCAAACATGAATGTTTCCATCATATAAATCTGTCAGAAGAATTTTGCTCCTTGATGGAGGAATAGAAACCAGAGGACGTGCGTACACAGAAATAAATGTGCCCCGCCTCCCCAGGCCATGTTATTCCATGGCACTAGCTCCAGACTGAGGCCAGCAGGCCCCTGTGGGCAGTGGGGGCCAAGAGTGGCTTCTCCTTGGGGGCTGCAGGAACTCTGACCAGGACGTTTGAGGTCTCAGTGCCCAGGAGCCTGGCAACACACTCAGCCTCCCTTTGACTTTGTGTTTTCATTCAACTCCGAGTCACCTGTGCTAATGCAGGGTGCTGTGGGGTGCTCCACTAACTGCTGGTATCACCAGGAGCTAGTACTTAGGCGTTCCAACTCTGAAGGACGTGTGGGCTGCCCCCAGATCTGCGCTATGACGAACCACCAGGAAGCCACCATGAACATTTCCGAACCCATGCTTTGGCACGCTGCCTCAGCTTCCCAGGGTGTTCGCCTCCACATGGAATGGCTGGGTGGCAGGGCATGTAGCCTTCAACCTCAACGGATAATTCTGTACAGTGACTTCCAGCTTCCATCCCTTCCAGCAGTGTGCTCTGTGAGCACTTGGCAGAGTGGCCCCCAGGTGCCGGGAGCTTGGTGGCAGACAGCCTCTGCTGTTCACGCTTTCACCGGGATGACTCGCGGTCTAGGTGTCCCTTGTGCTTTGTGGTCATGCCATTTGCCATTGTGTCGTCTACCTCAGGTGAGCCGTGTGAGTGCCCACCTGTCCAGGGCACTCAGCCTTGGTCAGCTGTGTGATGAGCACCTTCCGCTCTCCCACTTTCCTCAGTGTTTTTTGATAAATCAAGGTTTATTTGTTTATTTTTGTTGTGACAGAATTCAAAGTCTTCCTGTTTTGTTTTGGGGCTCCCCTCCCCCTCATTTTTTTGGAGATAGTCTTGCTATAGTATGAACTGGCCTCAACTCGTGATCCTCCTGCCTTAGTACCCTGAGCGAATGCTGCTTCTTTTAAGGTAAATCCTGTTTGTGGTTTGCGAAACCCTTCATTCTCAGCCCCTGCATTCTGAGGTACCACCTGGAAGCTTCTAGATCATCTTCTCACAAGTCCATCTTTGTGCCACCTGGTCATCTTTTCTGCAGGCTGTGAGAGGAAGTCCCCTACTTCTGTGACTGTGCTCCCGCAGTTTATTTACTAACAGTTCTTTTGTCCGGTGCTGCTGCGCTCTCTCAGGCAATATGAAATCTTAAGGCCTACAGCAAGAGGGCACTATTCCCACCGTGTCCACAACAGCTGTCCAGGTCTGTTCTGAGCAAGTAGGCTGTGTGGCCACCTAGCCACATAACAAGTGTCCACACTGACACACTGCTTCTGACCAATTGTCTATTGTTGCCCAAAACCACCTGCCTAATGTCCAGGGCTTACTCAGGCTTGGATTCTCCCAGAAGTCCTGACATTCTTGGCCTCTGAGTTTCCATATAAATTAGTCTGTGAAATTCCACTGAATGGGTGTCAGACTTGTGGCTGAGGCTGCACTCCATCTACAGATCAATTTAAAGGAACTTTGAGTCTCTTGATCTGTAAGGTGTCCTGCCTTCTTCATTAACATTTCTAACTCTCCTGGCTCACAAATTCTTTTCTACTGGCTCTATTTCCTAAGTAGTTGACATTTTTGATGCCCTAGCAAATGTCTGATGCTGGCATAAAAAAATCCAATTCACTTTTCCATCTACAAACTGCTACAGCTGTGCCACACCATGATCCTCCTGCCTTCCAGAAGGAAATGAGATGGTATGGCCTGAGCAGAGGCCATCACCAGCACCCAGGGCTGGGTCTCGCAATGCCTTCTGTTCTATTTTCTAGCTTGTTTGTTTTGGTTTTTTTGTTTGTTTGTTTGTTTTTTGAGACAGGGTCTCCCAGTAGCTCCAGCTGGCCTGGAACTCACAGAGTTCTGCCTACCTCTGCCTCCCAAGTGTTGGGATAAAAGGTGAATGCCACCATGCCCACAAACCTCAAATTCTTAATAAGACAAACAACTCAGTAGAAGTTCAAGGGAGTGTCGTCCGAGGGCATATGAGAGGGAAACTCGTTAGTGCAACATTCCAAGTGCGAGCACGCTCCTTTCCCATGGCACTGCAAAACCCCTCAGACTACCTGGATACTACTAAATGCTGGTGAATTATAGGAAGGTAATGTGCAATATAACGAGATGAGCATTACTGATTCTTTTTATTTATGTGTATGAGTGTTTTGCCTGCATGTATGTAAGTGTGCTACATGTTGTGCAGTGCCCATGGAGGTCAGAAAAGGGCCTCCATGGATCCCCTGGAGCTGGAGTTACAGACTGTTGTTAGCGGCCATGTGGGTGCTGGGAACTGAACCCAGGTTTTGTAAACACTGAGCCATCTCAGCCCCACATCACTGATTCTTTAAAAACACAAAACAATGCCCCCTTCTGCTTTGCACTGAATTCACAGCTCAGAAGGCAGAGGCCGCAACCTCACCTCAGTGCCACCAGAAGTGAAGACGACGTCCTGAGGCCTCCCGCCTATCATCTTTGCCAGGCTCTCCCGAGCTGTGTTTATAATGTCCTTGGCCTTTTGACCTTGAGAGATGAAAAGTCAGTTCATTACCATTGATTCCACATTTAACAGGACAACCACACACAGGAGAGCTGAGAGCTGGGGGTGATTCTAGGAGGAATCAGGTCCTGCAGTGTGAGCACACCATCTACTACCACCTGGAGGTGACTTGGCAGGGGAGGTGAGGTGACAGCGTGAGGTGTCAGCAAGTCAGTGACGACCACCAAGGCCTAAGGAACTAGATGAGGGCCATCGACAGCCCAGGGGCCGGGACACAGGAAACCAGGGGCATCTGCTTCCGATAGAGCCATGTGCCTCAGCTGCTGCCAGTGCCCACTGGCCAGTGTGCCAGAGGGAGGCTCTGCAAGGCGTTCTTGGCCAACACCCCAGTGGTCTCCATGCTTGTTGACCATCCAATTTTATTTGTGAAAAGTTTGAGCGTGCACTAAGTACACTGTAAGACACTATGAAACTAGACATGTTAAGCTGGGCATGCTGGCACATGCCACCAATCCGTACTCGGGAGGCAGAGGCAGGACGATTGCCTTGAGTTCAAGGCAAGCCTGGGCTACACAGTAAGCACCAGGCTAGCCAGAGCAGTAGAGCAAGACCCTCTTAGAAAAGAGGTGAAGTAAAGCTATATTCACAGCAGTCCTGCCACTCAGCACTTCCGCACAGCACTTAGGAATGCCCATCATTCCCAGGCAGACCTGTCAAAGTGCTGTAGCAACTGCCGGCAGGCTTGGGCAGGGCACCTGTGTGGTACCTAACCTTTCCTGCTTTCCCCCAGGAGCCCCAGCGGCCCCCAGGTACAGCTCCGACCCCATATCGCTGGGCAGTCACTGCTGTGGATTGGGTGTGGGAGCCCCCTGACTCTCCCCTGAGAATCAGAAGGCACCATTAGGCAGTTCTTGACTGGCTAGGAGCAGTTATGGTGGGAAAGCTCAGAACCAGTTAAAAGACCTGGACAGTAATTCCAGGCAACAGCACCACCATGCTCACCTCGCAGACCCTCTCAGACACAGCCAGTGGGGGTGTCCCAAAAGGAGCCTCCACCATAGTCAACTGGAGCCACAGATGCCTGAGGGGAGAAGGCGGAGCTCTGCACATCAAAGCCAAGACCCTCACCACTTGAAGGCAGGCAGAGGGAGGCCAGCTCTTACAATCTGTGTCAAAAGTGCTTTCTTAGAGATCTGCCTCCTTGGACTCTTGCTGGGCAACTGTGGATAATTTTAAAGAGTTAACAGAGAACATGTTGCAGCACCTCCCCCATCTCCCTGCTCCAAGATGCCTGCTGTGATCATGCCAACTTGTGCCAGTCTGCTGCTGGCTGTGCCCAGGACCCAGTGAAATCACATCATGTTCCCTCTTCTATAAGCTGCTTTTCCCACTGGAGTGGGTGTGGCTATCCTCTAGGCTGTGGGTACAGCCACTCATGCCATCACTCTGGCCAAATACAGAAAGAAGTCCTTGACAGCTTCCCCTCACTGTACAGTCACTGACCCAAGGCCTGAGTGCTTAGATCCAGTGACTACACTTTGCTGGTGTAAGCAAGGCTGCGGTACACACCTGGGCACCCAACTTCCCAGCATAACTCTTCCCAGCATAAGTTGCTCTAGAGATTTTAGATCATAATATTGTGAAAAAAAATTAAAATATCTGTGATAAAATGGTTTCCTTTAAAAAAATTTGTTTTAAAATTCTTTACCTGATCAAGTGTATGCCATCAGGGACTTAGACTGAGTTACAGGAGAGACGAGGCAGAGGCAACGTCCAGAAGTTAGCCAGCAAATAAGTTAATGAGCAACTAGCCCTGGTTTTGAAAAAACTATGGGTTGCTGTGGAACTTTTAATAAGCCACTGGCATGAAACCAACTAAACCCTGTCACGGGAGACACAGGCGCTCGTATACTCAAGCTGGGCGCCATGTGTGACAGAAGCTTGTATTAGCCCACGGTCAGCATGGCTCATGGTAAATCCTGGGCCGGGATTCAGTTCCTAATAACCCACCATTAACGTGGTTCATCTTAATCATCCCTAACAAACATCACAGGGCCAGGTGTAGAGCACTTACTTTCCCACTGAGAAACTAACTAGGGATGGGAAAGTTTCAGCCTCCGTGTCCGCCTGAAAAACATGTAATCCTGTCTTCTAAACACTGATTTGAAGCAAATTATTTTTCAAAACTTCATACTTGGAGCTCAAGCTCTATATTACCAAGATGAACCAGAAAGAAATAAGACCATAATTATAACCAAAGTAACAAAATTTAAAGGCAACTTTGTTTTGTTTTTAATTTTCAAAAGAAATATTTCATTTTGCATGTGTATGTGGTGTGGTGTGCACTGTGTGTACGTGTGTTCACATGAATGTGGGTGCATGTGTGTGTGGAAGCCAGAGGCTGACGCTGGGCGTCTTCTCACGCTCCACTTTTCTTACTGAGGCAAGGTCTCTTGCTGAACCTGGAGCTCACAGATTAGCTAGTTTGGCTGGCTAGCCTGCCTTGGTGATCCCCCGTCTCTGCCTCATAGATATGGGATCAGCTGTCTCATCTGACCTCAGGTCCTCAGGCTCATGCCACAAGTGCTTCCTTGGGGAGCATCTCCCCAGCCCTGCAAAGTTCCTTTTTGAAAAAAGCCAAGATTATATGTGATCCTGGTGACTTAAAAGGCACATTAGCCAAAATGTATACGGAGAGACTTTGCTAGACATGTAAAAGGGTTTGATGGTGCAGGCTTTACAAAGGATCTTAGTGAGGTCTTTATCTGGGAGGGGCCAGAGAATACATTAAAGAGTAAGTCTGGCACGGTGGTGCACGCCTTTTATCCCAGCACTCAGGAGGCAAAGATGGACAGATCTCTATGAGATCCAGACCAACCTGGTCTATAGGTCATCAGGAAGAAAAAGAAGAGAGAGAGAGAGAGAGAGAGAGAGAGAGAGAGAGAGAGAAAAGAAGAGTAAGCCTGGCAGGTTAGAGATCAAGACTTCTCAGGAAAAATTCAAAAATGACAGCCCAAGATGTGTCTCAGTGGGTAGAAGCATATTAGTTTGTTTCAGTTTTTTAAAAATATGCTTTAACAAAATTCTTAGGAATTCTTTTACACACTGAAGGTATAATAACTGAATTAAAAAAAAAAAATTTATTTAGCCAGATGTGGTGGTGTACGCCTTTAATCCTAGCACTTGGGAGGCAGAGGTAGGCAGATCTTTGTGAGTTCAAGGCCAGCCTGGTCTACATAGTGAATTCCAGGCCAGCTGGGGCTACAAAGAGACCCTGTCTCAAAAGTGTATTGCCTGCATGTAGGTAAGTGCACCCGTGTTGTGCAATGCCCTCCGTGGAGTCAGAAGAGGCTGTCGGATCCCCTGGGACTGGAGTTACGGACAGTTGTTAGCTGCCATGGGGGTACTGGGATTCGAACCTACGTCTTCTGCAAGAACAGCCAGTGTTCTTAACCGCTGAGCCATCTCTCCAGTCCTGATAACTGGATTTTATAATAATGTTACTCTACAAATGGGAAAATAAATTCTTTTTTTAAAAAAATTCATTAAATTTTTATTTTTTGTATATAAAGGTATTGCCTGCATGTATGTAAGTGTAGCCATGTTGTACAATGCCTGCAAAGGTCAGAAGAGGGTGTCACATTCCCCTGGACCCAGAGTAATGGACAGTTTATAGCTGCCATGTGGGTGCTGGGAACTGAACCCAGGTCCTCTGCAAGAGCAGTCAGTGCTCTTAACCACTGAGCCATCTCTCCAGCCCAGGAAAATGAATTCTTTTTTTAAAACATTTTATTTATTATTTTTATTTTATGTGTATGCGTGTATTGCCTGCATGTAGGTAAGTGTACCCGTGTCATGCAATGCCCGTGGAGAACAGAAGAAGCTGTTAGATCCCCTGGAATTGGAGTTACAGATAGTTGTTAGCTGCCATGTGGGTACTGGGATTCGAACCTGGGTCTTCTGCAAGAACAGCCAATGTTCTTAACTGCTGAGCCATCTCTCCAGCCCCGGAAAACGAATTCTTTAAAGTTGAAAAAGAGAGAGAAAATCTACCCCAAGCAAAGCCATCTCCTGTGGGTGTACACTTCTCTAAGAAGCCTCTGGCCCCCTTTATTACCATGGATTCTTCTAGAATTACCTGCCACATAGGAGCTGCTGGGATTGCCCCAGGCTTCCTGCATAGCTTCAGTCACAGCTTGGATAACTGCTGGCTCCAGAGGGGTTGTGGCATTGTAGTCCATGTAAACCTTCCTGAAGGAAAGAGAAGAGACCTGTGAAGGGAAAGGAGGGATCAGGGGAGGGGAGGGATCAAGGGAGCCCTGCTCTTTGGGGTCCATAGCAGAGGTCTTCTGCCTCCAGGAGGAGCATCAGGCTATTAGGTCTTCAGCCTTCCCTGCTGATGGGAGATAGCAGCATGGTTTCCAATCATCCAGTACCTGTCTGAGATCACCCACCTGACCACTGGAGGGCAGATCTTCAGCTCTCCTCCAAGATGGAGGGGAGGAGGGGACTGCCACAGGCCGGGGAGTCACACATTCCCCTGGGGACTTAGCTTTCTAAAGCCATCCTTACTCCTGGGACCTGTCCTTACTCCTGGGATGGCTTCAGGGGTGAGGGGACCATGTCCCACGGCTCCCACTGTGTCTTGGCCCCCACCAGGCAGGGCTTCTCCCCAGGGCAGACTTGTACTTTTAGTCCTATTTCCGAGGACTTTCCTGCTCCCCACTCCTACCTAAGTGTTTTTAGGTCTTTGTTCTAACATGTCTACCTGGGTGAGGCTCCACAGGCTCTATTTGGAACTTCAGGCCCTAGCACTGACCCCCCACAGGTCCTCTCCCTTCCCTCCTGACATTCTCTGGAGCCCTGTTCATCCATCATCAGACCCCTATCATCAGATCCGACCCTCATCATCCTCATCATCGGACTCTCATCATCTGACCCCTATCACTGGACCCACATCATCATTGGACCTCCGTCATGTGACACTCATCACCCTCATCATCGGACCCCCATCATCCGATCCTCATCACCCCCATCTGACCCCCACCATCCAACCCATGAGGCATCTGCATTTAGCGTCAATAGAGCAAAAGTGCAGCGCACAGCTCACGGTTCTGACTGCTGCTCCATCAGCAGGCGCCATGGACAGGTTCATTCAGAGGATGACAAACAGACATCCCCAAGGAAGGACGCACACTAAGGAGAGGTATCTGCTTACTTTCTTCCCAGATTCAGAAACATCTGCGATAAGAAATCCAGCCTGCAACTAGGGACTCTTTCACTTGATTTTAAAATCAAAACAGAGCTCCAACCAAAGCCGGGTGAACCAGGCAGGACTAATGGGCTTTCAGCAGTGAGCAGGCAGAACAGGCAGCAGTTTCACTGCTCCATCTTGGCTGTAAGTCCTGTAGACTCAGCTGACCCTGCAAGGCCTGGGGACCTTGAGAAGTGGCCAGCCACCCTTGACCACTCTGGGGCTGGTTTTAGTCCAACGACTTCCTGCTCCTTCCTATAAGTAAGTGTCCCACAGAGCTGCACACCCACTGTTCTGTGGAGTGGCTGAGGCTTTTCCATCTCTTGCTGGGCTGCACTGCTTCAGGGCTTGCATTTCTCCTGTATCAGTGATTGACAGATGACTTCATCTTTTGCTGCTTAGGGCTGATGCCAGGCCTGGATGGAAAGTGAAACTGTCGCGACCAAAGCAGGAGGCCTAGTTCACAGTTACCCAGGCTGGCCTCCCACCACAACCCTCACCTCAGCCTCCAGGGTGCTGAGCTCACAGGCATGTGGCACCACACTGTCTGGCCTCAAATTTTAAAGAGAAACAGAGAGATGCGTATCTCATCTCCTAGGCCTGAATAGAGAAGATAGAAACGCAAATAATACATACATACATTCATAATAATACATACATACATTCATAATACATACATACATTCATAATAATACATACATACATTCATAATAATAC